GCAGGGTCTACATCCAGATGACTTTCAGCGACGCACTGACTTTTGTGAATGGTCATAGGAATAACAGGAAGCAGATAATGCTTTCACTGCTCTTATCTTATGAACTCATGAAGCATGCGCCACACGTAATGGAGTCTTCAACAATCACAATCATATGTGGTCAGTGTCCAAACTTCATGCAGTCGCCTGCAAGAGCGTCATGTCATCTGGTCTGTAAATGTGTGAGCCGGTATACTAGGCAGTCACATGACTGTAACATATTGCTGCATGAACGGCTCGGGGAACAACGAATTTCGTATACGCTACGCCTTAGCAGCAATATCTAGCCCATGGTTCCAGCATGATGGGGCTACCGCACATTTCAGCTCTCCTATTATGTGAATTGCTGGATATGTAATACGCAGGCATCTGGATTGGATGTGGTGTTCCAGTTTTTGGCCGCCATGATCGCTGAACCATCTCAAAGAATTGGTCTACCGATACCTAGTTACTACAGAAATAACTTAGTTGCTCATCCTTATGATGCGTTTACTTTATGCTGTGGTAGAGTAGCTGGGTAGACACCCAGCTACTCTAACGCTTGAGATCAGCTATTTCACAGCACATGCATGTGTGCCTCTATATGCGCAGTGGACAATTTGAACATCTTCCTGTGCAGACAGATGCAAATACCGATGTTCATGTTTCCAATAAAGTTTTTTTTTCTTGCACCGGATATAACGTCATACTTTTCTTTCGAATTTATCTCGAAAATTATGAGTCGTACAGATATAATTCATTAAGTATTTCTTTATGTATTCCAATCGAGTAGTTTGGTCGTGCAAAGTTTGATCATTCTTGACAGGACACCATCTACAGTAAAGTTGACGGATTTTTTTTTTTAAGTTTAGGTTTAAAATGAAGAAATTGCTTTTTAATCTGCACAGATTATGCAAAATCGTATACGGGAAAAAATATTGATTTTAAACAATTTGTTAAAGTTTCTGGTAATTATAATCTAACTTTTAAACACTGCATGATCCATCCAGAGGCACTTGCAGAAAATGCATTAGCAATGATATTGAAAGATTTGCTTCAGGCTGCTGTCAAAATTATATAAACTTTATTAAAAGCCGGTTCTTTAGCAGCCGTTTGTCTTAAAATCTCAACAATTCATGTTTATTTTAAAATAGAATATAAAAATATATTATTGCAAGCAGAAGTAAAACAGTTGTCAAGAAGGATAAATTTAAAAAAAAATATTTGTGATTAAAAGACTAAAGTATTAAATTTTAAAAGGAAGGAAAGGACGATACTGATGCTCTTTTCAAAAGGACTTATGGCTATCAAAATTGTGCTACTTTTAGGATGTTTTGTAAACGCTGGATGATTTTAACTTCAAGGAAAAAGCAGCAACACAGCATATTTACTTCGAATTTTAAAACTGAAGGTTTTATTAAGATTATCAACATTTGGAATAATAGAGTGAGAAATGATGAATTCAAAATGTTTTCTAAACACATCTGCCTCATTAAAATGAGATTTTCTTCCATTCAGTTTTACATACTCGAAACAAATCCTAAAAATCTAAAAATACTTCTTTATATATACTTCTTTATATATATATAATATATATATATATATTATTACGATTACCAAAGAAATAAATTATGAAATAATACCTTTATTTTATATACCTCTATTTGAGATTGCGAAAAAACCTTGATATAAAGAGGTCACGAATGAAAAAATTTTAAGAATCGCTAATTTAGAGTTTGATGAAAGATAAGGACATGAACGTATAAATTCTCATTAGATGTAAACGCAACGATCGATGCTGTGTTCTTGTCCCGATATGTATAAAGCAAAGAAATATTGAACGTGTAACTCCAAAACTGAACAGCAGAAGCTTTCTTCGAGACTGTTCTTAAATAAGGAGGAAAAATAAAAGTGGGAGAATTTCAAAATTCTTGATTTACCCGCGTATAATATCGGCTTCTTGCTCCATCTAATGATGTGCGATGATCCAGGCGTTGTGTTTCTGTTTAAACGAAATGCTACAAAGAGACTCTTTCGAACTGATAATTAGCTACAGACTTAGAATATTGGCTTCCGACTGTTGTGAAATGCAAGAATGTTATGAATTGCAATAGTGTTCCTGTTATAAAGAAACCACCCAGAACTGATATTTACCGTTCCACGATGCAGACAGTAACGAATACTGTTTCTGAACTGCAAGACTGTGCTAAGAACAGGTCATGTAAATGTATTTAAAGTTTTTTTAGCCCAAAGTGCGTTAGCCCAGAAGAGCTATTAGTTTCGTTTTGGCATTTTGCGTTTGCTTCACTATAAATAACATTTCTTTTTTCAAATTGTTCTTACCAAATACTATCGCCCTATATTATATTTGAAGAAATTAGATAATAAAGAATCTGCATAAATGTATGTATGTTTCTCGCATTGTGATACCCCAACAGTACCTACAGCCATCCAGTTTTAAATGACGTAATCCTACTGCGGATTTGGGCAACTGAAAACCCCGAAGTTGAAATTGGAATATGTTTTATTATCGATTTCATATTTTGTAAAACTTTAACGAATTTTTCATTAATAAACTCAATGATTTAAAAGCTAGGAATGGCAACACTCTACGGGGAACAAAAAACTTTATCTCCAGCGCGCAAAACTGTGTATCTGAAATTCTTAAGATATGCTCATTTTAAAAATATTTTGAACTGAATTTTACGGTTTAAGTGCAAAGAACATGATATATATTAAATAAAGGTAACACGGAAAACGTTAAAAAAATGCCCGTTTGGACATAAATTAAAATCTGAAATTTACATTTTTTTTTTAAAATTTCATTTATTAGTTGAAAATGGCTTTGTCCCTGAAGGACTATTGTTTTCGTTTTGCGATTTTGCGCTGGTTCACTAAAAATGTGCGTTTCACTTTTCAAACTGTTGCCACCAAATGTTGATGTCCTGCATTATATTTGAAATAATCAAATAATGAAAAATGTGCATAAATGTATGTATATTTCTCGTATTGTGATAAAACAACGGTACATAGAGCCATTGAACTTTGAATGACATAATCCTACTGCGAATATGGGCATCTGGAAGCCCAAATTTGAAATTTGGAATTTGCTTTATTATCGATTTCCTATTTTGTAAAACTTTAAAACAAATTTTTGATTAGCAAACTCAAGAATTTGAAAGCGAGCAATGACAATGTTGTACAGAAAAAAAAAAAAACATTTTTATCTCCAGCGCGCGAGACACTGTATCGGAAATTCTAAAGATATGCTCAATTCAAACCTATATTTTGTGATATTGCTCTTGAACTGAATTTTATGGTTTAAGTGTGAAGAACGTGATATTTATTAAATATAAAGGTAACAGACAAAATGTTAAAAAAACGCCCCTTTGGACGTATTTTAAAATCTGAATCATTTCGGAATTTCTTTCTTTCTTTCTTTTTTTTTTTTTTTTTTTTTTTTTAAGTTTTTACTGAAGCTCGAAGTTTACTCATGGAAGTAGTCTTCTTCTCTTCCTTGCGTGTAGTGATGATTATGTAAAACTAAGTGTTAATATGTAAATATTTATTAAGTTTCACGATTAGGATAAACTCTCTGCTTGCATTTTATTGTGCATTTAAGACACTAACGTGGCATTTATATAAAAAATTATTGTTTGTCTACAACATAACAGTTAAAGAATTTTAAACTACTTTACCTAATAAAATCTGAGTAAGAGGTTTTGCAACTTTATGTTCTGCGAATGTCAAATTATGCTTTTGGAAGTAAAATAAAAAAATGGTTATCAGTTTTGCACATGATTACTGCACCTAATGCACTTATAATTTTTTTTCAAATATAACACATTGCTTTCTTTAACCTGTAGCTGCTTCCGGCCTTGCTTTAAACTGCACCTGATCCGATGTTGCTTTAACCTGTACCTGTTTGCTATTTTTGTTATATAAATAACAAACAAACGCGGACAAAACAATCGCATGCCGCTGATTAAGTATTTCCACCAGAACCTTTTGCCTAGATCATATTATTCGGATATGACAAAATACGCATATGCTGTCTGCCTAATTTAGTTAGTTACCACCCAAATAAGCAGATGTACTTCCGGAAGACTTTTAGCTATTATTTAAACTACCTCACTAATCGGAGAAAATTTTAAAGGAAACTGAATCGTATTTTTGTTACACATAAAGAAAATAACAAAACCTAATAACGCAACCAGCCTGGTTGTCTGAGATCGAACTTATGTGGGAATCCTAGTATTCAGAGGTCACTAGTGGCCTTTTCTTCCGTGATGGGCACAGAGAGAGATATTATTTTTGAAGATTTTTTTCCATTGGGTGTATTGGAATGGAAAGCATAACGAATTATTTTTATTTAGAGTCTTAATTCCGATAAAATATTTAAAAAATTAAACATTAAAAATGTACTAATATAAGAATTTATACTGACAGTAGCTACTATCTAATTGAATACTTTTATGGATGTAAAATAACATGTACTTAAATTATCCTTACTTTGCAAATTTTAATATTTTAGCTGTTATTCATAAGAATCTTTAATCCGTACTGTATTTATTTCTTCCTGTTACCAAAATGCTATTTAAATAAATATTTTGTATACATTACATCTTAATGTAATCTTAACATTAATTTTATACAATTCCTGTTAACTGATTTTAAGGTTACAAAAGGTATTATTTTATTGAACTGACTTAAAATCTCTTAATATTTTGGTTTCCTCACACAGGGTCAAATAGTATAGGCTAACTGAATCATTTTGGGGAATATTGCAAATAGATGCTGTTTGGGTAAATAAGAAGCTTACAATCATTACATTAAATGCTGATTTTGTTGTACATTAGTTGCCGTATATTACCGTATATTACCATCTTTGCCGTATATTATTTGCTATATATCTTTCTGGTCAACTTCTGGAAAAGATATATTAAATAGCAATGTCTTATATTTGATTTATGTCTTTTCAGATCGTGGTCGAGGGCGTGGTAACGGCAACGGGCGTTCATATAGCCACAGCAGCATGGAGTTACTTACAGGTCGAAACTATTTCAGTGGATCAGACGGCGAGCTGGAAGTCGTTGGCGACGCAATTGTATATCCTTCAGGAGCTCCTCCTTCCATGAACACTACACCTCCATTACAAACTCAAGGTAACTATAATAAATCAATTTTAAGGAAGATATTGTTAAAATAAATTCTATATATTGTAATAATATTAAAGCTTCAGATTCTCTAACAGATCGAATATTGCTTTAAATTAAAATGATCAACCAATGTACGTTTGTCTGCCCAATGCTCAACTCTTGTTTTCAATCCCCTTTGATATATCTTGAGTACTTTTTCGATGTTTTATTATTGATGCTAACTTGTCGAGAGCAATGGGAGAATTAATATTTTTGACTGTTCAATAACCTCTCTCAGACTGCTTTTTATTACTCTCATTTTCAAAAACATTACTTGTAAACATACATTATTGATCAGCTGAGTATTTCCGCACCGCCCATATTCGCAAAATCTTCGCCTTTATGAATCACAATAACCACGTTGCTGATGTCATCGTTAACGCTGTAAATAGTAACTAAAGTAAGCAATAACGAAAAGTAGGCAGCACCTGCTAAAATTTCATTCATCTCACAATATCTTAAAACCAACATCAAAACAGTATGCAAAATGCAAATCAAAAACTTAGTTAACAGTAATACTGCTTATAGCATTCCATTGATTATACTTTTGGAATCTCAAAATTTGGAGTTTTAAATAGTGTTGTCTGTGTGCGGGTTTGTAATAGGCTGAATTCACAAGTTCAATAATAGGTTAATAAAATTTACTCTTATCAGAAGAATTATATCAGAACTCTGGAATTTCCTCAAAAATATTCTAGAAGTGTTCACAATATCACGCAATATAATCAGTAGTCATACTCCAAACTACTAAAAACGTTGAAATACAACCCAATGCATTCATATATAAACAGAAAGCTAACTCTGATATATCTCAGTTCACGCGGAACTACAACTAACAGCAGTAACTAAGTAACTAAACTAAACAATTGAACTGAGATGCTCTCTCTGTGGCCTTTTATAGTTTTCAACCGGTCGCGAAAAATTTCTAGTAATTTCTGCTTCTCAAGATTTCTGGAAAGCAATACGAGGATGGAATTACGGCTACAGCTAACATAATGTCCAATTACATTTATTCAGTTTGAATACAAATTACAGAGGTATCCATTTACTCAATGTTAAATGCACGTGCACCTGTATTTTTACTTTTTCGACATAGCTTTCTCTGAAAATTTGTCTGGATCTCTCATGAAAATACAACTATTTTAGTTATAATTCTACTAAAATTAGCTATCTAGATACAAAATTCGTAACAATATATCAAAATGACATCTTACTCATTTTCCAAAATAAAAATCTTAAACTTCAGTTTTTCATTTTTAATTGTTTGCAAATGGATGATGTCGTGAGCTTCAAAACAAAGAACAAATAAATTAAACACTGATATTTTTCAATATAAAAAATACTGAGTTAGTATTTTTGTGCTTGGACAGTTTGTTCAACTTTGTAAACAAACATATCAAAAGAGCAAAAATTTAACAGAAAGTTTTGAACCTTTCTTGTAACTCCAGTAACAAGTTTTACAGATGAAGATATCATGAGCAAATCTGAATATCTTCATCATTTTACATCCCCAATGTAAATAGCACAGCAAATGCAAAAAGGTATGGCAATATTTAATACTCTGTAAATGTAAAGATCGATCACCTGAATGCGCCCACGCCACACACATTTTTCCTCTTCCCCTTTCTAATATATGATCATACATAAAATACACATTCATTTCATCCTGCAAATGTAAATTTAACTTTATGCTCTGACAGTTTATTTATGTTTTGGTGTTAAAAATAACCAAGTATTTTTGATACAATTAAGGATGATGCAATGACATAATGAAGGAACTGGTATTCACAATCTGCAAACGTCGATGCACCTTACGAGCTGATACTAGGCATGCTGCAAATATGCCCGTTTCCTGACTAATAATCCGTGATTTGGTCTTACGGTTTTGCAGTGCTGTTCTCTCTGGCGTTAGTCAGAGTGCGTTGCGATTCTGCATGCCGTTCAGTGTGACCGTCAGTAATCCATTAATTCCATATTCGCATGAAAATGGTTGAACGTCGAACAGTGCGATCGGCGATATCACGGATAATCAACACTTTAAATAGGCAACACTCCTGCCTCTATCGAATTTCGAAACTTGCTGGTAAGCATTCCTTCTTATTATTCGAGGCATAACAAGATATTCTGAGCAAACTCTAAGCGCACAAAGCGCTTTCTGAATGAGAAATCCACTATACAACTTTTCTTTTATGAAGTGCTTCAGATGTCATTTCTCCCACCTGCGTCATCTAAATGTGCTGAAATACTACTAACCATTAGTATATCCCAACTTCTTCCTTTCATATGATTTTGACGTTCGTCAGATCATTCCTTCCTGATGTTGCAGTTTTAATGGTCAGCAGTGTATATGTACGTATCAGACTTTCGATATAAGAAAGAGGGCTTAAGACTGTTTTTGATATCCGAAATCGGTTCCAAACTGAAAACTCTCTGCGATTGAGTGAATTCTAAGTACACACAGTTACATTATGTATACTTTTTCCCTATCTAAAGTTGTCTATTTTCTGCATTTTAAGTGTTTCTTTCTTTTTATCGCTTAGTACCTCGAATTAAAGTTTGTATTGATAATCCATATAATTGCAAATATCCACCTTAAAACAACTGCTAGTTACGGTTCACTTAAATTTAAGCAGCGCAAATAATATATAAATCAATACCCCTTTTTGAATCAAATCAAATTTTAGTCGCCTTATCTTAATTATAAAGAACGATTATCATGCTTATTGAACTCTTCTCCTAATAGGCTGCAAAATATCGAAGTAAAAAGTAAGTGATTGTAATGAACAAGTGGAATCTAGGGAAATATTCTTGAATATAATAAATATAATAAAATATATTCGATAGAAATTTCGTGGCCGAAACAAACATGCAAATAATGTCATATTACATATGCAAATAATATAATATTACTCTCTTTTCATTTCTCATTTTTTCATTTCTTCTTTCTCAAGAAAGTTATGGAAGAATTTATCTATTATTTTAGTATAGGCTGGTAAAATGAAAACTCCTTAACTGTAAAGTGCTTTTAGATTTTGCTGTTTTCACTGTGACATTTATTTTTTGTAATGTGAGATCTTCCTGATTTCAAAGAATTATTTAATCGCTTTGCTACTGTAAAATTATTTTAACATTATGTTTTGCAACAATAGCTTTCAATTTAATCATTCATTCGTCAATAATAATTTCAATAATCATCATTTAATCATCTCACAATACATCCGATGGCAAAAGATATGCTGATCTGTAAGTTTGATAAAACATTTGGTACAAGCATTGAAGATCCAGCTGTAAAGTTCGTAAACTTTTATTCAAAAAGAGCAATGCTAATAAGCACGTTGCTTCCACTAATGTCTTTTAGACACAATGCCACTGCGTTTACAATTTTGGAATGTGTTATTAGTGCAAAACCTTTTCCAGTTCAGAATAAAGACAATGAGTTTGTTTTTAGCTTGTCTGACAGATTTTTAAGCTTTGCACTGTGTTTATAACTTTAAAACTGTGTTATGAAATTTCTGTTTTTTAGGGTAAATGAAATATAACATAAACAAAATATGGAATGTAAATAAATCAAGTTTTTCATACCATTAGGATAGAATATATTTTAAACATTTTTGTTGATGTATGCGCTTTGAATTAGCAAGTCGATATTGTGAAAATCTCTAAACAATTAGAGGAGTGCTCAGAGACATTGTGTACTAATTTTCTTTCAGTTTTATGCAAGGTTACTATACTGTAAAGTTTGTTCTTGTATGGCGTCACTGTCTCTTAGTCTGCGCAAATGCACCTTTTTTCCCGTACTGCTTTTGTGTCTTCGTTATTCCGACTTATCTAAATAAAATGACGTCGATATTGGCAACATCTTTAATCTTGTTTGTCTATAGACCTTAATCTTACGAGCAGAGATGACATCAGATTCCCGAAAACCGTATTTTGTACTGCGAGATCAGGAAATATGAACTCTTTCTAGCTTCGAACCTTGGATATAATAGTAAAACGATATATTTAGTTCTTTAAAATACTCCTTGAAGTTTATAAGAAGGGTAAAGTTAGTAAAGCATATAAATAAAGCTAAACAGAGCAATTTTGAATTTTTTTAATATAAAACTTGACACTTATTCCTTTATTCTATATTTTTAGAGACGTTTCAAACAACAAGATTTCATTTTACTTCCTTACAGCGAAATACTTCTCTTGCTATCCTATTTTAGAGCATCCTCTAAATAATACACAATAAATCTTATATTTTGCATAATGTACAATTAATTATATTAAAAGTTATTAACTGATATAATATGATGACTCTTAAAAATAGGCAACTCAACCTTTAGCAAATGTTTATTTCATAAAATTTTGGCTAATCATTGAAGAAAATGAGAATATTTTTGCTGCTTGGAAAAAGGAGTTTATAATTGACTTCTTTGTAACTGACAGGATTTTCTATAACATAAATGTTGGTTGGTTGGTTGGTAACGGAGGACGGGGACGCCTGATGTCTAACAGAGGTAAACAGGCATGTGTCCCGCGCCCTCCACTAACCAGGAACAACTCCCTGGGGACTCAAGAGGCACCTCGGGAGCCTTTTAGGGTTAACAAGAGCATTTACATGGCCATACAAGGGCAGATTGCATTCGTTTTACCGTTTTGACATTTGTTGTTGCAATTTGCTATGGTAATTTTGCACATTCACAAAAAATTCTAATAAAAATACAAAAAAATATACAGATACAAAATACAGTTACAAAATAATAGGATCAAAATACAGGCTCATAGGGAAAAAAAGTAAAAATAAATAAATAAATAAAATAATAAATAAATAAATATTATGCATATACAGAAGAGGAAATGTTAAATACATTTGGATTGTACTATTTGAAAGGTATCTGTAATAGGGATTTATGTAAATTTTAGAGTAGACTTATGTGTCTGGAATGTGGAACTGCATGCTGACTTAGTTAGTGTCATGTCTTGAGAGTTTTGTTAATGAGGAGAGCACAATCTTGGCCCATTCTCTTGAGCTATGTTAACAACTTTGCAAATTGTATTTACTGCCGGTTTGTGCTTTATAGGAAGCGGTGATAAGCTTCACTATTGTTAGGAAGAGGGAGGGTGATTCCTGCTGTCAGATGGCATTCAAAAACATAGTGGTCTGAGGAGCCTTCCGCTCCGCAGGCGCATATGTCCGTGGTTGTTATGCCATGTCTATTGAAGTAGGTCGGGAATGGCCGTGTCCGTAATAAGCCGTAAGAGGAACTATTGCAAATATGTGCGTTCAGGCTGACTTTCGGGAGTAGCTGTATGTACGTCTTCCAGTTGTTCTGCGTCCATCTTCCTGCCAAAGATTTAGGCCTTGGACCCCGTAAGCCCTTGAGGTAGGAAGGAGGGGCTGGGATTGCGATTTTTTCAGCTTCTGGATCAGTGGCTGCTTGCTTGGCCAGGCTATCAGCTGCTTCATTCCCCTCATTTTCTGCATGTGCCTTGATCATGTTAAGGAGAGATGTTTCTGCGGGTTGCGCTGTAAAAGTTGTTGTAATTTGATGATCAAGGGCGGTGTGTTGTGATTTATCTAGTGCTAGAAGCGTTTGACATACTGTCAGTGAAAATTTTTCGCCCGTTCTATATTATTATTGAAAATGTAATCTACCGCGGTTATAATTGCTTGCACCTCCGCCTGGAACACACCTGTTGTTTAAGTCAAGGCGTCCTTTACCTACATGGATGATTCTCCTTTGTCATAGTGTCAAAGGCGCTGCCTACTCCATCTTCCTGCTTAGAGCCGTCGGTGTATATTGCGTATCCCTTGAAACTCGCGTCATGACAGTGGCTGTATCCGTGAGATGTTAATTCTTTTCCTGGCCTTTACGTGCAGGATGAGTGTGAAGAGTGTTTGTTACCTGGGCTTTGAAATTGCAGAGGGCTGTATGTTATGTTGCCAATGTTGCATCTTTGCGGAGGTATATGAGGGTGGTGTAACACTGTCTCTTGTTCTGCCGCGTATGTGGAGTGGATGAGCCCTGCAAGGACTGTCGCTGAGCTGGTGGCTGTGGTGCGGTACGTTTTACAGAGATTCAGGGCGAATGGTCGTTGAAGAGATATAAGATGTTTGATCTTTCGTCCTCCCATCGGTTGGGCCCATACGGCAGCAGCATACAAGACTATTTTTTCAGCTACCACATGGTAGAGGATCTTCTGAATATGATGATTTTGACCCCAGTTCTTACCTTGGAAGGCGCGGGCCTTTCTGGCTATAGCTGATGTTTTGTTTTTTAGTTATTGTTTTTTAGTTTTTTAGTTTTTTAGTTTTATAAATGTTACTCAAACTTCAATTTTGCTTAAGCTTGTGTTTGATATTAATTTGTGTCTCTAGCATATGTATTTTACTTAGTGACATGATGTTGGCGAAAATTGTTTTTCTAATTTAAAGATAGTAGTTTAGATAATCCTTTCAATTATGAAGTATTAACCCTAAATTACCGTAATTACATAAAGTGACAGAGTTGTTCTTTTTTATAACTGGCTCTGTTTCCCATAAATTCTATGACTTACGTAGTGATCTTGCATTTTCAGTTATTGCAATTTATACTGAAATACGCTAAATATAATTTCTATTCAACTTGCATAGTCATTAGTTTTTTTTTTATGTTGGAGACGTGAAAAATATGCTGTGTCGTCGCCGAGAACTCATAGATTGTGTTTCCAGTTACACCAAAAGGCATGCGTAAAGGAGGGAGAAAATACTTTAAAAACTAAATAAAATAACGAATTGAAAATGCATACATAATTTTTTGTATCATATTGTACATGACGCGTCCATTAGGATACAAAAGTTTAGAATCAAAACAAGCATACAACCTTTACGTCACACTTCTAATATTCGAAGCATTTCCATGAATCGTGTTCCAAAGGCAAATTAATAATCCATGAATGTATCAATCATACTGATAATGAAATAAAGTTCATATTTATGGAAAGCTTTCAATAATGAAAACAGCAGATGCGAAGTACACAGTTGAAAATGTAGTACTAAAATATGAAGAAATGTCACTTAATCTTTCTTGAAACAAATTTAAATTTCTCAGATTCTATACCAAAAATTAAGAATCACCAACCATCGAAAATTCACTATACTGGATTTCAAATTTGCAATGATATTGCAAATTCGCTAACTGAGCAAAAACAGAATACAAAGGGTCACTCTTTTGTAGAATATTGCCAAACTAGTTAGCTCGGGGCCAGATCTATATCATGTAGACCATGCAGACCATACTACATTGGTACCTAATACTATGTAGACTTTAAAAACTATAATATCCAGTTCTACCTATGGAATTTAAAAAACTGGAGAATACTTTTATAAAGAACAACAGTTTATATGTTATAGCAGGATAATTAGACACATCAAAATAAAGTTATTGCATACAAATTAAAAGCGAAAAAAATAAACCGGATTGTATGCGATAGTTAGAAACAACGAAAATCCAATGCAAAACAACAAAACTATAAGCAGGTAAACAAAAAGGCACTTAAATTTTTACAACAGTATGCTTTCGTTCCAGGCAAATATCCCGGCTATGGTACTTTACCAAGACAGCCGATCCAAGCTGGAACAAGGGAACAACAGCAATCTCCTCATCCCAGCCAACAACCTCCAGCAGGAAGAGAATCCCGTAGTGGTTCAGTTACTGGTTTGCAAGGGGGTGCAGCTAATACTTCAAGGGGTCGAATGTCGTTATCTCTCAGAAGAGGGCCATCTTCTTCCTCTACGTCTGACAATAATTCTGATGCCACCTTTACGGACACAGAGTTTAATGCTCGTAGAAGAAGCGGATTACAAAGTCAAAGTGGTGAGTTGATCAGTTTAAGAAATGTCATTCTCTTGAAATGATGTGAGCAATAACAAGAAAAAGGAACGATTACACAATGAAACGAATTTTCAACATAGAGAACAATGGTTATCTTATAATTACTTTAATAATTTGTAAACCATGTGATATTAATTCTTACCTACTGATTTTGGATATCGTAGTAGGTCTTTTTAGGAACAAACATGTTAACATTTTTATTCGATTCCGATACTCAAGGTAAAGTTATTTTACAGTGCGTTTGCAAATCTTTAAAATTATTTTGTTTAACATTTCTTTCGCAGAATTATATGTTCTTGAATCAGATTGTAGAGTATTTATAATCCAAAGTAGAATATAAGGAAACGGAGTTTTGAAAAGTATACATAGAAAGTGAGGAAAATAGAGCATATTTTAATTTCTTGTCTAATATACATGTATATAATATACTTAGTGCGCAGTTAATAAATCCGCTACTTCTGGTTATAGATATGGATGGGTGGATAAGGCGTTAACAAAACTAATTTCTGCGAATCACCATCTTTATTTTTACGCACATCAAAAATTATTTCTTTGGCAGACAAATTAATTTTCGATCATAGTTGAATACAAATAATTTTTATGTACACAGAAAAAGAGCTGCGACGTCATTTCAGGCAAGGAAGCATTAGCGGCGGATTGTTATTTGCATGGCAGAAATCAGGAAGTAAGGGAAGCGTAGGTGCTCGTGACTTAGTATTTATACTTCTTAGGTGCAGAAAGTATCTAAGCTATGATTGGTCAATGCTAGTTTTACTTACCTTTTTCAAGCAGTGGTATGTAATTTGAAATGATCTCGAATTTGGGAGAACATATGAATTTAGAGGGAGAGCACGAAATTTAGAATGTTAATTTTGAGGTCGCCAATTATTTTTTAAAGCAGCTATCATATTTTCTTTTATCTTATATATATATAGAAAGAGAGAGAGAGCCATCCAGAAAAATGCATACACTTTAGCAGGTGGTATTTGCGAATTATATACGTGATGTATGACTCAATGATAGTGAATCGTAATAGCCTTGTGGGATCTTGAAGGATATCGTGTGCAGTAGGAAATGGGTTATGCTGAAGATCTGACGTCAAGAAATTAAAAAGGCATCAGCAGCAATATTCCCGAACACATTCACCAGCGTTGCTCATGGAACCGCTCACTACCGTTTTCTTGTGTGATTAGCTCCTTATAGCTACCACTTTGCCATTTTGAGCATATTAAGTAACTGTGCAGCTCCAGGTGTAGAAAGATTGTATTAAATCTAACCTAGCTTGATTATATTAACATATTATTAAGTTCGGCAGTTCCCGATTGAGAATTATTTTTATTAAAGTGTGTATCGGTATGTATTTTTCTGACAGACCTGGTACATAAATAATCAGATAGAATCGGGAACAGCGATTTTGAATACGTTTCCTTCTACTTTTATAAAATAGAATTTTAATACTATATGCGGATTTATTTTCATTCTTTTTATAGAACTCTAGAGAAAACGTAATCTAACACTGAAGTGAAAAATGCGACATGAGCTATTGAGAAATTAAAACAAATGACACTTAAGCGTGGTATTGTAGCAGCTATCGGTAAAAATTATAATATGACGTCCATAACTATTTCCAATATATGGCAAACATTGCTATGTGCTGTCAATCTCCCAACAGCCCCGACTTTTATATCTTGGACTTAGAATTCTTCAATGCCATGAAGCATTACAGCATCACAGCACGTTGCGCCTACCAACGCATTCAAGCTTTATCTACTTAATTTATTGCTTTAGGTATCGAAATAATAAACGCTGCTTTTTTTTTACTTTACGGCAGGTCATGGAATGCATTATGCAGTTTTGTGGGGAAATAATTACAGATGAACAAGTGAATGCAAGGCCGGACACTCCGATGAGTTTTTTCTCATAAATCGGGTATCATCCGGTACCCGCAACTATCTAGTTCAGCCATACCCACCCGACATCCAATAAGGGCCGCATCGGAAGTGTATTCACAGTAATACTATACCTACATACTCGTGCAGGGGCTGCCATAAATCTTAGATTTACATAGATTTAGGTGTTTGAAGGCTTGAAAAAAGTGCGCACATATACTTTTCGGTGAACAGAGGGTGTTGGTTTCATGTTCCACCGCGTATACTACAATTTGCCAGACCTATACTAATACTTAATACATACCACAACATATGCATATATAGCACATATATATCATTTACATATATATTGTTATTAAACATATACATACTATTAAATACGATAAATATTGGAAAATAAATGCCTACGAAAGAATCATACACATGCCGCGACATATAACCCCATGACATACACAAGCCATTAAAGAGGCATCGGCGCATCCAAAGATTGTTTAAATATATACATACTATTAAATTCGATAAATGTTGGAACAGATATATATATATATATATATATATATATATACTGTTCCAACATTTATCGCACTTTATTTCGTATATATATATATATATATATATACGAATTAATATATATATATTGCTGCTCTTGTTTAACCTAGTTAATGTGATTAATGTTGGAAACGCAGGAACATACGAAATGACGTGTACATCCCTTAACTTATATATACTATGATTTATATATACCGTGCACATATATCCTACTACTGTTTAAACATATACATACTATCAAACACGATGAATATTGGTAAAACATATACATACGAAAAACCAGATACATACTACTAACACATACATCTAATATACGTATATCTTGCTATTTTTAGGCCTATGCGTTCATTTAAAAATGATAATTTTTGAAAAAAAACTGATGTATGAGAATAATCATGGGCATACCTTAACGTATACATACCATGGCATATACATGCCATACACATATATACTACTTTTGTTTAAACATATTCATGCTATTAAATATGATGGTAATTACAAAAACAGTTACATACAAAAACTCAGATGAATGTCATAACATATACATACAATATACATATATCCTACTATTATTTAAACATATACTTACGAAAAATCATGTACAACTCCAACATATACATTTACATGCCAAACACACGTATCCTACTATTGTTCAGAAATAAGCATTCTGCTTGACATGGTAAATATTTGTAAACCTATAACTTCGAAAAAGCGTGTACATACCCTAACATATGCATACCATGACGTATACATCCCACAGACATATCCTACAATTATTTAAACATACATATTCTGTTTGGCATGATTAATAATGAGAAACATATACCTAAGAAAACTCCTACACATACTTTAACAAATCTGTACATACTACTATCTAATGTGGAGCACTTATTTGTATTGCAATGTCTGGGATCCGCTCAGATTCTGTCCTAGTACCTGTAATTAATAATTACAAGATTCCACATATGAAAAAGGCAGTGCTTCGATCTCAAAGCACGTTCGCAAAATTACATAACTTATACCGGAGAATCCATTTATGCGGCTCATGAAGCAATAAATAGTTTTAAATTTAAATAACACCTAATATATATTTATAAAATAAAAGTTAAATGAATACTTCTTATATTATTGTATCATATTTAATAAATTATACTTACGCCTTTAAATTGGTGACACAGCAGGGAAGAAACAATGTTTTTTAAATGGAACAATGACTTCAATGCAAATAGGACAATCATTTCGATACGGAGCAAACATTAATTAATTAAACATTATTACAATCTCATTATTTAAATTTTTATGGAATTATTCGTCTCAGTTACCAGTGTGCCGAAGCTTAACATTATTTCTCATAATTCGGAAAACTTTTGAATGTCGTTCACTGTTAATTTATGTTCTTAATATAATTTGACGGAGCATGATTTCTCACGGGGTTTCTCATTCGCAGTCGGTTATACTGAAAATCCGGCCAACTATTTATTTCGTTCTTTGAAATAAATTGCTGGTGCAGACTTATAGCCTACGCTTTTGACCTTTTGAAAGCTTGCAATGATTCAGAGGCATAAACGACAAATATCATACGGTACAGAGTTTCAGAAAATTTCGGCTTATTTATTCACTCATGTTCTCAAGAAAGGAATATTTCGGAAGTCAGAGCTAATATGAAAATCGCTGGAATAAGAAAACAAATGTGTAAATATGCTGCTGGAAATGAATAAAATCCCATTTTGCTGACGTTAGTCGCTGAGGAGTTGATTTTTTGTTGCAATTTTAGCGAATTTAAAGCAGAATATGTATAGCTAAAAATTTTCAGAACGTGGAAAAATTCGAATTTATTTGCATTCATTTTCTTCCTCTACTAGTTTGCATTCGTGTTTATGTGTATATAGAACTAGTATTCAAAAATTGGTTTGAATTATGAATATATGTAGAGGTTGTTTCCCATTCCTGGAAAACTCTCTCTTAGGAAAAAGGGTATGGTTATTTAGAATGCATTTACATTATGTATTAAAGATATTACCATCTGTTTTATGTCAGATATTTCACATAAACAATGGGTTTCTTTAATATTGCTGGTTAACTGGAAGAGCTATTCATTTAATTCCATAGTTACTGTGGCAGAATCATGAACAATGTACGTTATTTTATATTATACAAATTAAATTCCTTTTCAATTAAGGCATATGCTTCCACGTAATAATATGCAATGCAATGGAAATATCGAGTTTCAACGAAAGGTTTCTGCCACTGCAAATATCGTCTGCGCAAACAACGCGTTTTGGCGTGTTTAATCATATTTTGTCAAACGATTTTTGACATTTGAAAGAAAGAAACTTGCTTTACAAACACCGTATTGGGAAATTTATAAAAGAATATTGTTATCATTAAGTACAAGGTGTTTTAAATGGAATTATCACGTTACCGGGTTAGAACAATCATTTACTTCCAGTTCTGTTGCAAAACGACAGCTACCGAATGTCACCAAATCATGCATATATCTTTAGGTACTAATGTTGTATCATATGACACAATGAAGGTTTGGTC